ATATTAGTCATAGGTCTGGTGATGTAAAAAGAGAATAAATATTTCCTGTATCCACCTTTTACGACCCTGCATTTTCAAATGCAGCTGGAGAGTTTTCCCAATTTTCTCAACATATTCTTTTTTGTATTTTATATATAAATATATATATATATATTTATGAAAGAGGTAGTTTTAGAGAAATGCAGTGTGATCTTGCATTCAGTTTGAAGCAAAGTGAAACCTCGATTCACGAATTCAATTGAGTAAAGAAAAAGATAGCTTAAGAGAAATGCAATTTGATCTTGTATTAAGTTTGAAATAAAGTGAAACCTCGGCTCACAAATTCAATTTATTCCTGAAGGCCGTTCGTTATTCGAAATATTCGTAAACCGAAACTATTTTCCCCACAAGAATTAATGTAAAGTCTAATCCTGGACCACAAATATTCGCTAATTTAAAACTTACAGCAGTACTTTGCATAGAAGTCCATTATGTAAAAACAATAAAAATTATTAAACCTAAGAAAAAATAATAATATAATAAGAATAAACACAATATTAAGCAGATAAAACAGACAAAAATTTAATTTCATTCTACTCTACCGGTACGAAAGTGAGTGGACGGCTTATATGGAAAGGAGATTAGGAAAAGGGTAGGAAGCGAAGTTATTGTCTGGATAAAAAGTCACCTTTCATAATAATAGTATATAATTGTTAAGCATTTTCTTTTATCTTCTCCTCTTCCCTTTTTAGCGCCACTCGACTCTGCTCGAGACTCACTGGGCTCCGTTTTACTTCTAATTCATCCAGGCTGATTTATCACTGTTAACGTTTCAAAATTTTTCTAAAATAAGACATGATATTATAGTGAAAGTGATCTGCTACAGCTAATTTCCTCTTTATCAGGGAGATAATCCTTATGTGAAATGTCCATCTTACTCCATTTTGCGCCAATTTCTCTGATCAAAGAATTAAGTTCAGTTTCTCCAAAATGCTTTGACCTTGAGGTTCTAGTTGATGTACCCTTTCTGCCCAACCTCTCAAAATATATTTCTTTAACCACTGCAGTGTAGCATTACATACGCTCATTTGCGTAAACAAGGGTATGTAAGGAACGCCATCGCATAGGGGTCCGAAGGCTTAGGGGGCCCATGAATGTCCTGCTGAACTACATTTACATGTTTAAGCTTAAAAACACTAATAAAAATCATGTATTTGAGTTTAGTGTACCAAAACGTTTTCTAAAATGAAAGGAGGGGAAACACTTTACCATACATATATTCTACAAAAATTGTATGTTCAAATAGATTTCTTTATGAAATTTATGATAAATAGGTTTTCTCTTTAACAAATGCATCATTTACATTATAAAAGTTCGTAAACTGAGTTGATCACAGAATGCTATAAGTGTAATTACTTTTTTGTGCGTCTACATATCATGTTGTCTGTCAGTTTATAGCATAACCAGTTATTTACCAGCTTGCTAAATTAATCGAAAAAAAAAAACTTGGATTGGCGCAGATTTTATATGGAAGCTCAAACTATATTTGCATGTAAAACATACTGGATTTAATTTAAAAATCTCCTCAAATCTAGATTTTCTTCCCCCCTTTTTAAGCACGGTAAATTTATTGGGGGGGGCGAAAAAATTTTTTTGCATAGGGTCCCAAGAATTCTAGCTACGCCACTGCATACGCTTCCTTTCTTCAGTCCTCAGTTTTATCATCAGATGCTGGAATCTGCGTATAAATTTCTGCATCTTTATCACTATCTTTTTATGCTGCATTCAAGTATGCTCTAGTGCCTGCTATTAGTAAGTAGTTAGTACCTGCTATTAGTAATTTGAGTAGTTAGTACTTTTTGTAATGTACATCTGAATGATATTTTGGTAAATTTAACAGCATTCTTTGTAATCGCTGAGGTGCCTTAAAAGGCGTGTCTTAGTTATGCTTTCTAATGATCGATGATCAGTTTCAGCTGCAATACATTTGCCGTGTATACGTATATCTATATATATATATATATACTGATAAAATTGAAAACATCCAAAAGTAATAGCGAAAAGTTATTTTTCTATCTGAGCATAATTTTTCTGATTCTTTGTTAGATCTCTGGAAGCATAAGCAACTACTTGATTTGTAGAGACATTAGGTTAATTGGAAGCAGAAATGAAAAATTAGCAACGCCTTTGCTGGGAATCTAACCGCGGATCTCTGGAATATGGGCCCAGCGTGCAGACCACCAAACCACGATGGCATGCTAAGAAGGCGGTAGAAATACCTTATATACTCCCCCTTTTTAAGGGCGACTGAGGTTTAGAGGACCCAATCGCCAAATCCTGGATGTGGAGAATCAACTTTCACCATTCTTTTTTAGTTCGAGCGCCACTGTAGAGTCATAAGGCTTTTTTTTTGGATGCAGGAGATGTGAAATGAGCAAAGCCTTTGCCGGGAATCGAACCACGGACCTCTGGAATACGCGCCCAGCGTGCAGACCACCACACTACGAAGGCACGCTAAGAGGGCAGGAGAAATTCCTTATAGATTTTCTTGTAGTAAAATAGCACCTAAGAACTTGCATCTACTGAAAGAGTTACATATTTGTTAAGGTCATCGAATTTTACTACGAGCAATGCTTTTACAATCAGTTCTTAAATCTTTTCGAAAGTTTTTGGTGTTTCTCAGCTGAGTGCCAGAAAACATTTTTCTCGAGTAACTGGAGTAACTGCCTTAATGTTGCAATTATAGCAGCTAGGTTAGGAATAAATTTTGTCAAGTAATTAGAGATTCTCAAAAATCGTTGTAGAGAAGATACATCTTTAGGTTGTGACAATTTATCAATTGCTTTCACTTTAGAAAAATCAGGTTTTAACGCATCTTCATTTAACTCATGCCCTATATAATTCCCACAATTACTTTTTTTTGAGTTATCATTATTGAACTTCAGATTATTTTTTCGTGCTCTCTGGAGCATTCTTTTAGGTCTTAGGTCATATTCTTTTTCATTAGATCGTTATATTAAAATGTCATCTATAATGCATTCAACTCCTTCCAGACATTCTATGGGTATATTATTATTCCAGATATTATTTGGTTTAATTTTCTTTGACAAATTCCTGGAGCTAAACATATGCCAAAATTTTTAAATTTTTATCTGCCAAAAGATGCATTGAATCTTTAAATCTGTACTAAAAACTTTTAAATTTTTATCTGCCAAAAGATGCATTGAATGAACACAAATTACTACTTTCTTTGTCTAGCTTAATTTGTCAAAAAGCATTATTAGCATCTCAAGCGGAAAATCGATAATCAGTTTCATTTGCTTTTGGTATTCTAGTAAAACGTCGTCTATGTTTTACATAGGATAATGTTCTTGTTTTATCGCTTTATTTAAAGCTCTTGGATCTTCCTAAATAAATCTTCTCTTTTCCCCCAAAAATGGAGTGCAATACTCTTTCTGCCACTTCGCCTGTTTTGCCAATATAATTGTCAAAATGGCAGATAAATCCGCTTTCATCGCAGCGCATCAATATCTCGTAGCCACGTCTGATCGGTTTCTTTGGCATGTATTGCTTCAACGGACTACATCCTTTAAATCTGATCATAGACTTGGGTACAGCTTGATTTTGGTATGGATGCAATGCATTCAAAATCTTTTCTTCCAACTTTGACAGAATTGGCAGTACTTTATACAGTTTATAAAATTTTACAGATCCTTTCTTAGGTTGAAAAGTATTGTCATTAAGGTGAAGATCCACGTAAATCGTTTCACGAACATCTGTTCAGAAATGTAGTCATCATGCATTTCTGGTGCAGAGGACCAATAATCGCTATAATTGGATATTCTTTTTATCCCCATCAGTAAATGTATTACTAAGAATTTTTACAGGTCAGATAAATTTAAACTGTTAAAAGGATTATCCTTTCGCGTTACACATAAATTCGCCTGAAAAACTATGTTTCCATCAGCGTCGTGTCAAATAAAAAGGGAAATAGTGCAGTAGGGGATTTCCGATTCTAGAGGTGGTGTTGGTACCTGGGTCTAAGGCCTAACCCTATCTAGAACAGTTTACCTTTCCTAATTGTTACAAGAGAAAACTAAAAAGAGATTGTAGCTGACGCATTAGGTAATTACATGAAATGGAGAGAAATGAGGAGCAACACTGCATAAGTGAGATATAAAAACAAATAATATATAGATACATAAGTGTAACAAATACGAAATAATACAGTTTCCCATTATATAGTTGTTGAGGAGAGCTATTGGCCTATTATTATTTGCTAAACCATTGTAAGCATAAGAACAAATTTTAATAACGGGGTTCCTTATAGACCTCTGGATCTCATGGAATCTTTTTGCAAGAAAATAGTGATGAGTCCTGAGCTGAAGAATATTTAGTTCCTCGTGGATCCGGTTATTACGAAGGTACCACAAGGCATCTACGGTCCACCGCAGAACGCAGCAGAAAAAAGGTTGCTGTCTGCAACCTTTTTCTGTTACTTGTGCAAGCATACGTCTAGACTGGACACGCATAGCAAAGCATGGGAAACAATGTAAATTTGTAAATGAGTAACTTGTTATCTATAGATAGAAGGCTGTTTCGAGCGAGTTTAGCTTTATGAGCTCGAAACTTCTGGATAATAGATGTAATGTGTGGGGTCCCATATGAGCGAATCATTTAGGATCATCCTTAGATAAGGGACTTGGTTGGCCCAGGAGATTGAGGCTTCATAAAAATGCAGATTTTCCACAATTCTCCTTTTAGGCACTAAATTTACCTCTTTGCAGAACCCTCTTTTCAATGATAATTATTTAATCGTTGATAATGTGGGGATAAAGGCATTAAGCCTATGAGCCTCGTAATTGAACCCTTCCTTGGTCTTTGGTGCCGCTGAGAATTGTACTGCGGGCCATAGGTTGCCTGTTGTAGACACTTGAGGTTCTGTTTGGTACTAACACACAGCCACGCTTGCAATTTTTGTCTAAGCCAAAGAAAGGTATTGGGGAATTGGCATCAATAAGTCTTGAGAGGTGTATGTGCAGTATTCAAAATAATGTTTTATAAACACAAATTATGATTATTATTAGAAAATACAAGTTGAAATTTATATTATAATGAGCAGTGGAGATATAGAAATATATATCCGGCAGAAATGTCCTTGGTCCAAGCTTCCTGCATCTGTGAAACAGGTATTGTTACTTGATATATTGCAGACGATTCTACATTTTTATTTGTTTTTGTTTTTATTGAAAGAAGAGAAAAAAATGTTTGATAGTAATTAAAAGTACCGTAAAGTTTTTGGAGATAGCTGTGAGCATTATGAACGAAATTATATGAACTGTTGTTTCATTTCTAATATGTATAGGGAATATAATGTGCCGATAAACTTAAAATCAATTCGAAATACAATATATTAATAACCAAATCATGACGCATCTTCGAAGTTAGAAAAGCACAATTAGCACGCAGTAAATATATTATTGAAATCATGGTACATGGTCGGAACCAGTGGCGTAGCTAGAACTCTTGGGCCCCGTGCCAAAAATTTTCCTACCCCCCAATAAATTTACTGTGCTTAAAAAAAGGGGGGGGAAGTCTAGATTTGCGGAGATTTTTAAATAAAATCCAGTAGTTTTACATGCAAGTATATTTCAAGTTTCTGTATAAAATCTGTGGCAAATCCAAGTTTTTTTCCCGCTTAATTTAGCAAGCTAGTAAATAACTGGTTATGTTATAAACTGAGAGACAAATTGATAGGTAAACGTACAAAAAAGAAATTACACTAATATATAGCGCTCTGTGATCAACTGAGCTTATGAACATGACTTATGCAATAATATACAAGTCATAAATAAGAACTTTTATAATGTAAATGATACATTTGTTAAATATAAAACATATTTAGCTTAATCATCACGAATATTAACTGCAAAATTGGAGGAAAGTGCAGAATCGCAAACTCCTTGCCGCGTTTTTCAGAAGGGCACATACACAGTAAACATGTACACGTCGACCTATTTTTATTTAAAAATACATCCCAGAAGTGCTCAAAAATGGCATTGCGCACACTCTTGACTTTATCCATGTACACTGCTTTTTTCTCATAAATTAGAAAAATTTGCACGAAAATGCAGGAAAATTTTGTGAATCTTTAAAGTCGGTAAAAAGGACAGTTGATCTTTGGATTATGGTAACTTGGCGATTTTTTGGCGAAAATTTGGCGACCAACTCTGCTATAGCAACCCTCTATTTTTTTTTTCGCCGCCATTTTGTCTTCATGAAGTAAAGACATGTTTCTTTTCTTTTTATTTACTGAACACTTTTTCCAACAATCTACTAGCTGAATTACACTTATGCTAGAAATTTTATGTAACAAAACTGCTTAATCATGACAAATATTAACTGCAAAATCGGGGAAAAAGTGCACAATCGCAAACTCCTTGCGCATTTTTCAGAATAGCACATACACATAAACCATTTACAACGTCGGACTTATTTTTACTTAAAAAAAACATCCCAGAATTGCACAAAAAAATGGCATTGCACACACTCTTAACTTTATCTATCTACATTGCTATTTTCTCATAAATTACAAAAAAATTTGCACGAAAATGCAAAAAAATTCTGTGAATCTTTAAACTCGGTAAAAAAGCACATATATAAAATTACCTGATCGCGAAAATGTATGTACCCTTTCCCAAGGATGAACATTTCCACGTATAAAAAATAAATAAAATATCCAAAAACTTTTACCTCTAACTTATCTATTATATTATAAACGTCACCAACGAATTCATACCGCAAACATTACAAATGGTTACAAATACTTAGTGTCAAATATTTAAATTATTTTCATGCACGTTTACTTCTACCGAAATGTATACCAAATTGCTACAAACCTAAAATTCACAAAATAACTATCATTTAATTAAAATATCACTAAACCATGTACACGTCGACTTATTTTTACTTAAAAAAAAAAAATCACAGAATTGCACAAAAATGGCATTGTGCACACTCTTCACTATATCCATGTACACTGCTTTTTCTCATAAATTAGAAAAAAAAAAATTTCACGAAAATGCATGAAAATTTTGTGAATCTTTAAATCCGGTAAAAAGAACATATATGAAATTACCTGATCACAAAAAGTATATACCCTTTCCAAAGATGAACATTTCCACATATAAAATAAATGAAATATCCAAAAACTTTTACCTCTAAATTATCTATTATGTTATAAACGTCACAACGAATTCATACCGCCAACATTACAAATGGTTACAAATACTTAGTGTCAAATATTTAAATTATTTCCATGCATGTTTACTTCTACTGAAACATATTCCAAAATGCTACAAACATATAATTCACAAAATAGCTATCATTTAATTAAAATATAATTAAATTAAAAAACACTACTTAAAATATAAATAAACACATACATTAAATTAATAAAAAATTAACTTAAAATCTTAATTACTTTAAACTAAATTCATTGCTAATAAAAAATTTTCCAATAATAGCATATTAATTTATTTATTCCTTATATTTAGAACAGTGCATAAAAATAATATCCTCAGATGATTAAAAATACTAACTTACCTAATCTTCTACAGAATCTTGAGTGCATGGCGGATCATAAAATATCCATTTTCACCAGATTTCTTGCACCGCCATTCAAACTTATCTGTAATATCTTTCCTTTCACACAATCTCATTTCATTCCTGCATGTTGGACATTCATACTTATCCGCAATTAATCCTACACTCGTACACCATTCAAGCAATTCTTTTGGATTATCAGATAAACGCAATAAAAATTTCGAATTCACTTTAGATAGGGCCATGGGATCCAAAAATTAAGCAACACTGTTTCACACAACACAGAATGAAGCTAAATACAAAATGCTATAAAGTACTGCAGATATTTTTCCAAATTTCCCCCCCATTTTCCGATTAAAGAGCTGTCATTCGTCCATAAATGTCACATGACATATCTCATGATCTCTCATTTCTCTCAGACAAAATAATCCGTAATTGGAACTGGGTACTTCTCACATTATTGCCAAAGTCCTAGGTAGTAACCTTTATCACCTACCAAAATGTCGCCAAACTGCCTGTTACCATATTCCAAAGATTAGCCGAAGTTAAGTTCTTTGAAATACTTCTGATGCTTATATAGACACAATGTTGTATTTAATCGTATATGAAAGAAAACATTATTACAGGAAATGTTGTGTGGAGGCAGTGTTTTCTTTTGCCAGCTCTTGTTTTAGATATGTAGCAAATGACTCATAAAAGAAGAAAACAAAACAAAGCTCATACCATACATGTGTGGTAAAAACAGGGCATACACTTGGGATGTTGACTGTGTTGCTGAAATTTATAGTAATTCAAATGATACTGATTTTAGTATTTAAGTGAACAAATCCAAAAAATAATAATTTTTAGTCGGAGAAATTACTTAAATCATTGTTAATAATCAACAGATTGTTTATTATTTAGTTGACTATTATCCATGTAATTTAATTTCAAGCAAATATGCTTATTTAGATTTTAAATTTTTACCAAATTGTTTCAAAAGAATAAATAGTAAAGTTAAATTGGTAAAATAATTATCTTGTGCCACTACTGCAAGGAATGAGATTTCAATTCAAGAAATTCTCTATCTTTATACAAATAGAGAATTTGTTGAATTTAAAGTATTACCAATATATACAATTATTATAAAGAAATATGTGAGTTATCTGGCATTCATTCACATAAAACTAAAATACTGTGATATGTGTGCTTTGTGAGCATAGTATTTAATTATTTACAGATCAAATTTATGAAGCCATGATGTAAAGACAACATAAAAATATACTTAACCAGTAAGAATAAAAATTTACAAAAGGGGAGGAAAATGTTTAGTTTATTTTAGATATAGTGCGATACTGAATAAAAATATGGATACTCAGATAGTAGCACAACCACCTTAGTAGAAATCAGCAAATTTTTAGAATATGGCAAGCTCTGGAAACCATGTGCATAATAATTCTTCAGTTTTAATAAGGAATATCATCTTTTTTTCACATGTTCTTTTTGTGTGCATTTCTGAATATCTACAGCCCCAGTTTCAGTATTCAGTAAAACTGATCAGTTTTTGTGAAGTGTGTCAATAGTCACCTGATGCATGTATGGATCACATATATCATCGAGTCATATTTGTTACACATTTTACATTTAACTGCCATTGTATTAAACAGTGTGATTAAGTATCTGTAAAAATGTAAATATCAGCCATCAAGAAATTTTGTTCAGAAAATTTTTTCTTTCTTATAAAATGTTTCTTTTTTATTATTATAAATGAAAAGTATCTGTGAGCATAAAGATAGCCAAACATTTGTCTTTTGCCAAGTCCACATGAGTTTGCAGTTTTTCATGGAAGTGCAGCTAATCAGAAAGTACCTTACTTTGTGTCGCATTCCAATTATTTCGATAACCAAATCATATACTTTTTGCCTTAAACTCAGTTTTAAAGTCTACTCTTCATGTCTGAGTACAGTGGAAAATTTGCAATAAAATTTCTTCAGTAGAGCAGTCAATACTTTACATAGCCTGGCTTCAATCAGTCTAAATTTATTATAGTCCAGTTTGATAATTCCAAAACAAACTACCCTATCTGATGGCATATAAGACACACCCTTATTTAGAAGGCCACACACAAGGGAAAAAAGTTTCAATAGTCCGGAATAACTTAAAATGTGGTTTCTTTTAGTTCTCACTTTTTGTAAAAGCCAAATAAACAATCATTGAATGCAATTACCTAACATATTTTTATTAAAGAAAATTAACAAACAGCAAGCTATTTTGAACACGATATGTAAATTTCAATAATGATTAAATGAATGAACGGCAAGCAATCAAACATAATACAAAATAAAGCAGAAAGAACAAAAAACACAGTTTCAAGGAAAATGTTGCCTATCATGAAATTAGACTTTAATCACTTTCAAAACCATAAAAACCCTTTTCACTATCATCATCATCGAAAACAAGAATATCGTCATCACTACTGTTTCCGTCATCGCTAGTATCACCTTCTTCGAATAATGCATCATCTTCAGTTTTGTCAAGGGCATTACTGATTCCGCACTTCTTAAAGGACTTAACAGTTACTTCAGCCTTTACATCCTCCCAAGAT